ATTGTTGGCCGAAATTCTGAAGTGCGTTTTCGACTAGGAATGACTAATAAGGTGGCGTTTTAATATTAATTATCATGTAGCACAATCCGAAAACATGCAGTAAAATATACTTTCTATTACTTTTGGTAGAAAATCGTATTGTTTTCACGTTTTATACCAGGAAAAGTGTATGTTAAGTTTTGAAAAATCCTCCAATTTACCGAATAATTTTGAGTCTGGTCATCCGTTGCATAAGCGTTTAACGATTTAAGTCTGCAATCTGCATGCGTTCGGCGTGAGGAAAAACATATATTCCTCTTTGCCTCTAGGAGTTCGTAGAATTTTGCAATGGATAAGGGCTGAGTTGTACATTTCATGAATAACATCGGTAAACAGACACGTGCGATGCTGTTTATATGGATATTCCACGGTCTTAAAGACTTCATAATTTGAAAATTTTTTAAAACCGAAAGATAACCTTCCTTTGAGCATAAAATAAAAATACATTGTGGTTTCCAACGGAAAAAAGTAGAAGCAAATATATTTTACTGCACGTTTTCTGCAAAATATATTTGAATTTATAAGACCATCCAAAACCAGTGTAAAAATGCCTGCTACTTAAGTAGTCACTTTTTTACCGAATACGGTTTCCGCGGTAGGTCAGAAAGAAAGGCATCCACAAGCCGATATCATAGCGAGGCCTAAATTTTATAGGATTGTGCTGCATGATAATTAATACACCATTTACTTAGTCCTTTCTAGTCGAAAACGCATTTCAGAATTTCGGCCAACAGTTCATGAGATCGGTTACGCACAGTACGCCGTTAAAAAATTCCACTGCCGAATGACTCTTTGCGAGAAAATGAAGAAAAGTTGATTGGTGGGACACAGTGCCTCTTTAATTTGGCAATCATGACGTCTAATATAAGTCTTCGGTGCCATTTTTAAAAGATTTTCCCGGTCCACATGCAGATCAAGTCCCCTCAACAACTAAAACAGTAGCAAAAAGTCATCTCTGTTTTCCCGTGGTGGCGGCAGTAGAGGTTTAGTATGCGGAACTACCGAAAACCATTGGAAAAGTTTATGCTGCATAATTTGTTATCTTCTCTATATTGGCATGATTGCAGATAACCAGTGAGGATGCCGACAGAGGGACAACATGTCATGATGTGTGAAGTAATTTTAAGTCGTGCTTTGAGGTTGACAGTTTTATAACCACACGAATATAATCTTTCCTTGTCTAGCATATTTATGGTCTTATGTTTTAAAATTCGAGGGACTTACCGCTCATCAATTTGGAACTCACACTGCCACGTGCCTAGAGACTTCCTACCTTCCCTTGTGTCCCCCGCATCAACTGTTTTACTCATCAGAGGAGCTTGGGTATGTGGGTCACGGCTTCACTTAAACCGTCGCTCCATTGCCCCCAGGTAGCGAAGTCCCCGATGTAAAGCGGCCCTTCGGATATTTGTGCGGCCACAGTTAGAGTTCCCTATTCAGGCGTGGAAACCATGGGCGTTAAAGACTTCAGCATCCTTGAGAATGTTAAAAGGAGTGCAACCAAACTCGTAAATGGACTGGTTCACTACCCTACAAAACACGGTTATCCAAGCTCGGCCTCTTTCCTCCGAGGTACAGACGACTAAGAGGCGACCTGATACAAAACTGTCTCTTACTTTATGACTTCTTTGAATTAGCAACCATAGCAAATTTCCGAGGTCATCCACTCGAGCTACGTATGACTGACGCCAGGCCGGACGCACGAAAGTTCTTCTTTTCCAACAGAGTGGTTGAGGCTTGGGATGCCCTGCCTGCAGGCATCGTCGTGTCCACATCCGTCGAGGCTTTTGGGCACAAGCTGGATCAGTGTACAACAACACATCATAATGTCACCTGCCCGACATGGCCTTAGCGCTCCGTTCTGACCGTTTATTACTGCTATAATATTACTGTATGTATTTCAGTAACATTTTTTGTTTCATTTGCTTATTGCCGAGTCCATTGCACACGAATGTTGGCATTCATTTCGTCTCCCTCAGGTGACTGACATCGTATCAATTTTCTACGGCCCAATTATGCGTGGACTGACTACTGTACATTGTATTTAGCAGTGTTAATGTTTTAGCACTTGGAATTATTTGTGTGTCTACCCAGTTTCGGTGAATTTCTGTAGCTGTTTGATATTTGCATTTTTCAAATCTTTGACATAATTCCCTTTCAAAAAGAGAGCTCTCAAATAAACTGAAACCGAAACTAAGGTAAAGTCTTACTGTATCCATCAAATCGCTCATTTCTCCAGGCCAACGAGCCGCAAGCCCCGGACTTGCCTCGCCCCATTCATGAACGTTCACTTTTCCAGCGTTGACGGACAAATCAACTAAGTTGGCGGCTTCCTTCAGCCATGACACGACCTTATATAGACCGTCTTAACTGGGCGTTTGAAGGACACTCAGCAGTAACTTCGTAGCCGTAACATAGCGACAGGATTCTCATGACATCTTCTAGCGGCCTAATGAGTGAGAACGATGGTAACCAGTATTTTTCGTGACACTGAGTGTCTGGATTTCTCGCACTTTGTCCTGATTCCCCTCATGAGGGTACGAGAAAGGTAAGATTCAGTTTTCCGCAGTCATTTAGTCGCCACAAAGCAAGTTCGTAAAGCAAGGTCCCTAGGCTTCTTCAGGGATGTCACCTGTTTCATGCGCCATGACTTGGCGCAGCCGCAGTACTGCAGTGAGGCATCGCACAGTAGTTCCTGATTTCAAAGACGAAGTCCTGCACTCGAGGAGAAACAGGGACGATGGTTCATTAATTAACGGAGTTGCAAAAAACCTGAAACGCTCACATCAGTGCTAGTTTTTGGCCGATTTATGGGGGCAAAAACAGTCATCTACACGTAGAACATACTCGCACAGTTTAAGTCGTCTACCACTGGCTCGGCTGATGGGCTATCGGGACTTCCGTGTCTATCCAGCAACTAAGCCCTGCTCCCCAGAGGTCGGCTGATGAGCTTTTGCAATCTTTCATGAAGACTGTAGACGCTGGAAGCTGTTACTACGCTATGCGACTGTGCTTACCTGGCCAGATAACTGGGAGCTTCTTTAGTCGATTCTATCACCTGGGCTCTCGTCGGCAAATTCGGAATGAGGTCACCGTCCCAGTGACCGAAAATACAAAGTCTGACCACTCATTACGGTCTCTGCCTTTCGTTCGGACTACATGTCAAAACCAAAATTTCACTTTTCGGGATCCTTCTATTATATCGGGATATCGTAAATTTGATCGGGCGGATAACTTTGAGCACGACCGAGTGGGGTGCTTAATGCTCCATGCGAAAGAAACCCTACAGTGCGTGACCTATCTCATGAAATGTTGGCTGAAATTCTGAAATGCGTTTTCGGTTAGAAAGGATTACTTGGTCGCGGTTGTGATACTGATTATCTTTCGGCATACTCTTATAACATTTTGGACTCGGCAGGATGTCGGCTTTTAAATGCACTTCTTCCCAATCTCCTGTAGAAAGCGTGCTCGGTAAAAATTGACTACTTAAGTAGCATGCATTTTTCCCATTGATTTTCGATGGTCTTGGAAATTCAAATATATTTTATGGAAACCACAAACAAAGATATGCTTTCTTTTAGTCAATCAATAGAGAATCACGTCTTCTTCATATTTTATACTTAAGGAAGGAGGATAATTAGGTTTTAAAAAGTTTCTAACTGTGAGACTTTTTAAGACCGCGATATGTCCATTCACTTAGCATCGCACCTGGCCGTTTACCACTGCTCCTCGTGAAATGTACAACATGGTTCACATCCATTGCAAAATGTTATGGACCCTGTATGATATCTCTTTAATGACATAGAAAAATATGGGATTTTCTTTACGCGGGACGCATGCACCTTGTAAATTGTAATCACTAAGCGCTAATGCAACGAATGATCAAGCTTCAAATTATTCGGCAACTAGAAAAGTTTTTTAAAACCTAATTATACTACTTTCTTAGGTATAAAATATACAGAAGACGTGATTCTCTATTGATTGACTAAAAGAAAGCATATGTTTGTTTGTGGTTTCCATAAAATATATTTGAATTTTCAAGACCATTGAAAATCAATGGGAAAATGCATGCTATTTAAGTAGTCATTTTTTACCGAGTACACTTTCTAAAAAAGATTGAAAAGAAGTGCATTTAAAAGCCGACATCCTGCCGAGTCCAAAATTCTATAATAGTATGCCTTAAGATAAGCAGTGTCACAACCGCGACCGAGTAATCCTTTCTAACCGAAAACGCATTTCAGAATTTCAGCCAACATTTCATGAGATAGGTCACGCACTGTATACTAGTCTTAAGGCGATATCGATATCGGCATCAAATATCCCTCTGCCACAGTTGGTTACTTGGAAGAAATTAATTACCTACATTTTGTACGGCAAAGAGAAGGCAGACTGGCGTGGCCGCACCTCTACTTGTCTCTTGATGAAAATCGGAAGACAGTGGGGGAGTGAGACTGGAATTGCCAAGGTTCTCCTCACTAAGTCGCATTTCCTGCGCGTACCCTAGAACTCAGGAAACCTGGTCGTCATGTGAAATGGCAACCTGCTGTTTGAGGGCCCCCTCCTAAGATTCTGTAAACAGCACTTCACCAAGATATTTTCTTCTCGTTTTCTAAGATGCATACACAAAAACGGGAACGGTGCACGTCGAATTCTTAGCTGGTCTATTTATTGCACCCAATCAACGTTTTACAAAACATTGTTTCCATTTTATTACCACAAGGCCTAATTCAGCTGTCTGTCCCAATAGGTGAACTGACGTAAAAGAAGCCTGCATTTTAGCGGTCCAGAAGAAGTCGGTCCTGTCGGGCGCTTTGTCAGCTCTTTCGTGAGGAAAATCTGGAGCCATATAACGCGCCCAGCAGCTGGAGTCCCATTCTCATTGGCTGGGCGCAGAGTTATCGATCCGTCTCGATTCAAACCCTCTACGCCGACTTCTGCGACAACCGTCGTCCACAGCCGCGATGGAGCAGCGCGAAATGACTGACGAAGCTGGTAAGTCGCCTTCCCTGCCTTTCCTGGCGAACTAAAATCTCTTTTGCGAAGAACTAAATCAAAACGCCTCCAACGCAACGGGATGGGTTGCCTCAAAGGACATGTACAGGCCAGCCGCTGTGGTATGTGTACTTTCGTCCTTTATTATCCCCATATCGTGCCAGCGAGTTTTGGCTCAATTTTCGTTAGGTCCAGTGTTTTTACGTATACCAATGTCCATCACTGTTTAACAGCAGGAATGATATCGTCAGTTGCTGAAAACTTAGAATTAGAACCTCTGTTCCTGTTCTGCTTTGTAGGAGAAAATTCTCACCAGGTTAAGATAAAGCAGCATATTATAAAATGAAATAAAAAAGTTAACCTGAAGTCGATTGACCGGACTTGTTATATTTCAGGATATTCCCCGAAACACGAGGCAGTGTTTTGTCATGATAATTTATGACACGAAAGAGAGCACCTTCGGCAAATTTCGCAACACGATGGTTCTGAATATTCCAGTTTTTCATGCTTATGGTAACGGGGAATTTTTCGGAATGTCAAAGGCAAGTGAATTTGAAATGTTTTATCATACTTTATGCTTTTTGAGCCGTTGCTAACTAGAAATAATGATTTAACATGACGCTATGGCCACATATAAAGACTGTGGTAAAACATGATGTCTAACTTGTAAAACCTCGTTCGGCAAGATCTTATTTCGCAGCCGTAATTGTTAGGGGTTAGGGATCAGGGGTAGGGGCTAAGGTTGGGGTTAGGGATTAGTGGTTTGGGGTAAGGGATTAGTACTTGGGGTTAGTCTGCGGCTTGTCTTCTGCAGGTACGGCTACGAAATAAGATCCTACCCCTTATTCTTGAAATGGGTCGAGAAAAATTTCAAATGGGACGGTCCTCAAACACCAGTGAATATTGATCTGCCTGCTCCACTTAATTGACCATTTTGTATAGCTGAAATGGTAAATACCCAACTGTTAAGGCGGCCACTAACCCTCCGGATTTAGATTGTTTTCCATTGCAAAACACGCAATCCGGAACCAGATAAATCATAAAATGCGGCCTATCAGACGGTTTAGTTTCTCTCCTATTGAGCGAACTAAGTTATGTAAACTTAATCATAATGGGTTGTATCTGCTTTGGATAGGACCGTATATGCTAAGCTAGGTTGGAATAAATTGCGTGCAATCGACGGGATCATAATAAATTAGGTTACGTTAGGTTACCTTGCAGCAAGTTATGATGTAACTGATTCGAAAGGATCAAACTGGACTGCAGTCGTGCGCTCAAATCACCATCTGTTTTTCAATGAGGACGATCATCATACCAACTTTAACAACACCACTAATCGCATATCTCCGAGGACTTGCTTTTATTGTGCCTCTGACTGGAGTCCAATAAAAAACAAGTCACTTTAATTACCATGCAGCTCAATTCAGGCCTGTTTGTAATCTATTCCGCCATGTGATGAAGGACCAAGGTAGGCGTCCAGAAGATAGTAAGAAAAGGCATGGAATGCATGCGATCCATTGGTGAGGAACCTGCCATTCAGTTCACCCCTACCCTTTGATGACACCTTCCTGAGCTTAGGCCACATGATCCTCATTAGATGGAATAGTCAGGAGTCTAGATCCGCCCTCAGTTGACGGTAATGATGCCTTATCGTTAGTCAAGGCGAGTTTTGAAGAAAAGAAAAAGAGGAGGCAATTTTAATTGTCAAGGCCAGCTAGGCGGTGTCAGCAAATATCCTCTCACATTTTAGTGCCTGCGTTGCATCGAGGGTTGCTTCCCCACTGGTTACGCTCTCGGCATCATCAGTTTCGATGATCACGACCAGGCTGTGAAGTGCATCGAGTCACGCACTGAACTGCGCGAGAAGATGTGGCTTGGTGGTGTGGAGATGTATGTGGTGCCGCTATGCAACCCCGTGCGACACATTGGCGACTATCCCTTCTTCCAGATGGACATGTACGACGTGAAGAACGGTCGCAATTTTATCAAGTACCTGAACACAGTGGAGGAGATGATTCATCGCAAAGGCGGTCTTATCGTGGCTGGTACCACCCAAGCTGGTCGTTGGAGGGGCATGCGGCGACCGTACTTCATTCTGTTGCATCAGTGGGTCACGGTAGAGCAACTCGAGGCCTACAACAAGGAAGGTAGGTACCCTCGGGGCGACAGTTTTTCATTCCGCGTTTTCTTCCTCTCTCCTATGGGAAATAATCTCCTTCCTTTCCAGTTTCCCCAGTTCTACGCGACGCCGGAGCTGCCTGTTCTTCGCGTGTCATCTTCGAAATGACCACCGGCAACGTTCGTTGCTTCCAATAGAGGAAGAGCTAGTGTGTACTCGAACCAGCAAAACTGGACATTCTATTCGCTTTTCTACTTGTAGTGTGCGTAACGAATACAGGCCTGCCCATGCGCATATCTCCTGTCTGGTGCGACTGTGTGTCAGATTTTGAAATAAACTCCTAATCAGAGGGAGATGAGAACACCACTAATTTGTTATTTTTTTTATTAAAAATCACGGTCCCCGTTTGGGGGGAAATCATGTCGTTGGCAGTACCTCCGGGGATAAGTAGCCAGTGAAGGATCAGGACGTGTGGGTTGGGCAATCAAATTGGAAATTGGCACGGTAGTTTTCTGCCTGCAAGCCTTCGTCAGTCTGCCGTGTCTAAGGCATTGGAGAAGTGAGTTTTGGATGTTCTACTGCTTGAGGTGGGTCCAGACTGACATCCACGACTGCAGAGATTCGACGTGCAGTTTGAGTAGTAGTCACCACTTTGGCCTGATTTTGAGGCGGAGTACGGGTGCTGCGGTTTGTGATGAAACTTCGTTTTGTAGCCCGGGACGTAAACAAAGTTTTTATCAACAATGACAGGGTAGGCTGGAATGTCGCCTGTCACTCATATATATGGTGAAACTACTAGATCATTAGAACAACTCGGGGTAAATCCACCGAGATGCATGCAGGGGTAGGCTCCAAACCCCACACTCATTCGTTAGTCCATCTTAAATCTATCCGGAATGCTCACTCGTTTAGCGTAAAAAATCACAAATATTCCCAAATGATGGTCCTGTTGCATCAGTCAGATAGTTTTAGCAGGCTAACTAGCGAGTTTAGGCCTGTGTTTAGGTTACTCAACGTTTGGTTAGACTTGGTAACTTTGTCCAGTTGGTCGGGGCAACTGGCTAATTCAGCAGCCAAATTAATCTACCTCGACTGATCCGGTGTTTTAGAGAGCTGCCTCAGTCAGTCATCTTATCCAATGAAATGCGTTTATCACATCGAACGCACACCCACATTCGAAAAAACACCTATTTCACTTGCCCCTCTTGGGGATTTTAGTTTGCTAGTCGCTTTTGAGGACGGATACAGGAAGTCTACGGCCGCCCTCGCACATATCTTGTCCGGATTTCGGCATCAACGTCATCATCTTCAGGAACTGTCTATCCTAAGATTCGACTCACAGGTTTGGACAGCGAGGGATACAGCCGTAATTTATCCGGCAGGGACTGTTGCCGCTCAACACATGACAAGTTCCGGAACAAATCATGCAAATTGCAGGTCCACCAGCAAAAAAATCCTATGAGTTTTGAACGACAATCCCACCTTAATCCGTTCACAACTCTAACGAAACTTTTGTGATTGTCAACCAGTCTCAGTATAAGAAGCAATAAAACTTAAATGAAAAAGCAGAAGTGCCGTCGAGCAGCGGTCTAGTCATAGTTGGTTGAGCTCTCAGACCAGTGTAGGAATAAATCAAATTCTCCGTCTGTTGTACCAGAAACCGAAAGCTTGTTTGTGTTCTTTTTTTGAAAATTTAACTCTACGAGTACCTTACACAGATACCTTGGTAATTTTGGAGACCGACAACCTCCGTTCATTGTAGAGACCAGGTCCTCCGGCCCTTATCCGAGTAGCAATAACTTCCTATGAAACCCTGTTTTAACTTACTGGAATGCCGAGTCCCGTTATGTCGAGCTTGTGTATGTCGAGGCATATGTGAAAAAACAGGGGATGACGGGATAGCGAGTGTTTCGCGTGCATTTTAGCGTTCTTCATGCAGCCACGCCCTCAGCCAGCACAAAGAAGCCCGAAAGTACATAAATAAGATGGTACTCGGTAATAATAAGTAGCATTTATTTTCTGCTTTAACTGTCATCCATAGAACTTTATTCCTTGACGAGAGCCACCGACTTCTTACTTTGCGACACGCCAACCGGATTTTTGGGCACCCATGTGAGTTTAAGTGCCAGCAGTAGCTAAGGAACGTTGCTCTCACCACGAACTTATGGTCTTCTGGCGAGAACAGTGGTATGCGCAACTTACTAAGACCCAAATTTTCCCTTCAGACTCCCTATCTTTCCTATGCTGGGTTCGGATGCATTTTATGAATGCCATGGGCGAAGTTATAATCGCTGTCTTTGCCTGTTATCCATAATCCCCATTAAGGTGATTCTCGGAATGTTGTTTACTAAGCGTAAAACTTTGCGCACGGAGGCTCATAATTGATGAAAAAAGCTTTCTGGCAGCATTTTTTGTCCATACTCTTCGTCCATCGACTCTGCTAATAATTTGTTGCCTGTGATTTTCTCCAGTATCTGAAGCAAGTCCAATCCGTAAGCGACCTACCCATCTGACGAAATGTTAACAGAAATACTGGAATGCATTTTCGATTAGAACGAATTACGTATGTAGGGTTTTAATGTTGATTATCATGCAGCATGATCCCAATGATATTTCAGTCACGCCACGATGTCAGCTTTTGACCGCGCTTCTTTTTGCGGCCTTCTTTTTGCTGCTTCTTTTTTATGCTGCATGATAATCATTATTATAGCCCAATTTAAGTAATCCCTTCTAATTGCAAACGCATTTCAGAATTTCCTTTAATGTTCATGAGATAGGTAAATTACTGTGTAATATGACACTCCTTGTTCAGTTTGCTGAAGGTTAAGGATATCTGAAAGAAGGCAGGGTTAAGACACTGTTGTCTGCTTTGTGGTACACAGCGAGTTCAATAAAAAAAATCCAATGGCATACTCCCATCTATAGCCAATGAAGGCTCCGATCCCGGCGATACGGTAGCTCAATGTCCAACCACGGCTCTGGAATCCCAACCTCTCTACAATAAAGCAAACACTTCTGGGCAAGACTAGATGGCATTCAACATTTTAGGCCAATCGACACTGACGGTGGGTACCAGGACTAATTGCTGACCAAGGTAGTCTATACCTCTAATCTTGGCCGTCAACTCCAATCTCGCAGTCATTACAGGAAACCTCCACGTCATCAGGAGAACAAGTGGCCCGTCTCCAGTTTCGTGAGGCGAATATTGATATGTGCAGTGGGGTGTTAGGGGGGTGTCCAGCTAGGGGCACCTGTGCACGGTCGAATCATGTAAACAGTGACTGCTTCTCACAGCCCTTAACTGACACCCAACCCTTACATATGGCTCCCCCAAGCTAGGCTCTGCCTAGTGGTCATACCCCAATAATCGTCCCGACCAGATGAGGGTATCCCGGTTCTTGCGTGGGTGTGTGTGCCTCCGCACCCGATAATTCTGCTTCCATTTCCATCCCACTCTCGCCTCCTTCCTGTCTCCACCCCACCCCCGGTTGCTTCCCATTCCATTATTTCCATTCCATCTCAAAAAATCCTTCGGGGAGGGAGACAGTCAATGCTGTAGGCGGCCCGGACCGACCCAGGCCAGTGCATAATAAAGTAAGCCGTAACTTATAGTGGATTTCAGCAACCGCGTAAGATGTCTGAGCAGCCCTATTTAGAGACAGCAGTGCTTACCCCCTCATGGGGGGGGGCCTAGAAAAGGCCCCATGAGCAAATGGCGGGATGATGTCATCTGCACGCAGGCTGTGGCTCGCAGATGGACAACTGACAGTCGAAACAATCAGACAACCCACGTGCCCATCCCGTCCCGCACCACATTCTGCTGGAGTGAATCCACCCACTCTTCTTAATGTGGTCTTTCTGACCCTCCCACTCAGTTTGTACCGAGTCGCCCCCTTTCCTAGTTAAGTGTGGAATCCAGGAGGTGTAGTAACACTGCTAGGTGAGGGTTCGCGTCGCGCCAATCGCTTGTGTCCTCTTCCATCTGCGGCATTCTTAACTCTGTTTTGACATCTGGTCAAGGAGGATGATGGAGGAATAAGTGAGGTAGATGCTTCGAAAGTCCACTATCAATACCAAAGAATTCACGCGCAAGTCGCCGTCTCTGCGTCAAACTGTCGACGTACGTGGTGCATTCTGCAACAACTGTGTATTCGCATTTTTCTGCCGTCCTGAGGACTCGTCTGCGAAGCGGCCTTTTGAAGTCACAGGAAGGCAAAATAAAACATGATTTTTTTCGTTTAAGTAGGAAAATAAAATTCCTGAAGATTACAAGTACTCCAAGGGCAGCGCATTCTGAACACTGGCCTCGTACATAATATCATCCAGGGCGTCTTCCCTAGAGTAGTTTGTCTTTCCCCGACTCCGAGCTGCGGCCGTCCGTTGCTGAATGTCCTCCTCGGAAACATTTGGCTTAAAGGGTAAATCTCCACGACGAAGTTGTTTCGGAAGACGGGAATTCCAAGTCTGCCACTGTTCCACACATTTTGACTCATGCAGCGTCCAGGAACTGCGTGTGTATCGTCGACCGCAGATGTAACAGAGTTTTCCAGGCGGTCGGGTTGGCCCCTTCACAGAGCGCTGCATCATAGACTCCAGCGCCTCCCGCTCCTTCATCTCCTCCTTCTTCCGCATGAGACAGGCCTTTGCGTGAAACTCCAACGATCGGGCAGTGTAGAACTTGCGACAAGTCGGACACGTCACGTTCCTGAACCCCGGCCTCCCAAACCCCGAGCGGAGAGAAGAGGAGGTGGCGGCGGAAATCTCCTGTGAGACTGTGACGTCCTCGGAGTCACCAAATCTGACACGATGTTCGACTGAGCAGCCGCGCTTGGAGGACGGTGTCGTGCCCCCTACTGAATCCGCATCCACTGGGGGCATCTGTACGGACTTGTCAGTCTCAAGGATCTCCGTGCGATCATCCAGGGTGCTTGTGTGGTCATCCTTGGGGTCAGACATGGGTTGCCATTTCGGATGGGGGACCTTGACGGTGGTGACGTGGCCACCTAGATTGTTTACGTTGTCGTCAGGTGTGTGGGGGGGTCCGGCTCCAGATGTCGTTGGCAATGTTTGCGCATCAGTCTTCAAGTCAGCATCGGCTGTGGAGTGATTTGTGTGTACGTCAGCCTTGCCAGGGGTTTCATTTGTAGTCCTTTCGGATTTCGTGTTGATTGAAGCCTTTTCAGTGTTATTACCTGGA